CTCACTGACATATCGTGTTTGGCTAAATAGATATCGGCGTCCCAGTTTGTAAGACTTGCTTGCCACGAGGTAGCCGTTGGTGGCATGTACATCCATGTATCATGTACAGTAAAATTTGAACCAGATCTACTTAGAAGATAAGCACATGGAGTATAGTTGCTACTCGGATCACCCACAAAGCCAAGTACTACGACGAATAGATCTTGACTAATATCCACAGCACGTGGAAGAAACGATCTGTCAGGCCAAGTTAGATTACCAAGTTGAATGGAGACATTATTCATTTCAAGATTGTACAAAAGAAGAAAACTTGGGGTGAATGCATAGGCAAACTGACCCATTGGCCTAAAGAAGAATGAGCGAACACATACAATTGGAAAGTAGTACTATGTTATTCTATGCAGATTTTACTTTAGAAGAAAGATTGTTTTCAAAGTAGTGTGTAATAGATTGGTTTTTTCTTTCACATCGAAATGAATTATATCATATAAAGATGTGACATACTTAGTAATCTTGTCTTCTTTCACAAACTTTTCTCCAGGTATTAAACTATTCATACTTCTGCAATTATCTCAAAAAAATTGTTGTTACAAAAATTGAGATAAAGATGAGTGAGAGATTATTTTGCTGTTCTTCTAGAACTGCTTTATTATCTGTGCTACACTAGAATCACATTAGCTAGAAATTTAAAGACATACACTAACGTTAATAACTGCTACTCTTATATAGAGAAGTCCAAAGAAACTTCGCTTTTTTCAGTCGTAACCTTTTCTGCATGTTTACCTAATTCTTCGTGCAAAAGATAGCGCTAAAAAAAAGCTTCTGTGTAAAGATGATTTCATGTTGAAATAGCTTCATGACAATTCAAGATCAAAACTTTCTTCATTTGCTATGGAATATGTACTAGAACGGCATATCCTCAAAGGAAGGAGAAGTATATTCCACTAAACGCTACATTTGGGTTGAAGTTTTATATAGCTATATCCACGTAAAAGTATTCCGCAACTATTCTCATTTTAATTGTAGAATTGATAATAATATAGTTTCAATGGTATATGCTTACTTCTGTCCTTTCTACAATTAGAGCCTAATCTGAATCTTATTAGAACCACCACGTTTAGTTTGATTTTCATGGAAAAGTGATCGATTAAAATCAGATATTTCGCAAATATTCTTTTATGGATCACAGATATTTCATACATATTTTAGGAAAGTTCTAAGTGACGGATCATTCGAAATGATTTATGTGTGTACTTAAACTTTGAAATCCTTAAACAATAGCCACAAAATTGAAAATAATTATGCTTTCTCTTTATTGAATTATGAAATCTTTATTGAAAAACAGGTTAAGAAGCAAAAATGGTTTCGTTTCGGACCAGAATTTATATTGAGTAAGCTTGCTTTCTGTGTTCATCTGCAATAGAGTGCCTTCAAAACAGAAACACTTCTATTCACGGAGTAGCGCTTTTCCAACTCTATTGATTGTGTATTATTTTAGATCTTTGTTCATACTTGTCATTAGAAATAATCTGAAAGAATTCTATCAAAAGGTTTTCTAAAGATATAAGTAGACTATAAGGCAACAACTCGGATATAGCTCGGATCCAAAAATTGTTTTTTTTTGCTAGAATTATATTAATTCTGATAATACAAACTAGTGTAACGCTAAATAACGATCAAGAATAGAAGTTATCATTGAATTTCGCAGTATATTTTACATTGAGTTTATTGTTATCTATGTCTGCCGTATTCTTCTACACTAAAAGGATTTATCAATTGTGCTTGTGATCGAAAGTAGAACATCGATATGTCAATCATATGTCTGTGAAGTTCTGAGTTTTTCGCAATATACTTCAATAATCATTCACGATCGTGAACATTCTATGAGCGTAACGATCAGTATTCTCAAGATTTCTGTATCTGATCTCATTCGATAATAAATGTGACTATAGAAAAAGGAAACACTTACTCAACAGCGACAACAAAGAAATCCATGTTGCCATTCGTATGGTCTTCGTCATACATAAACTGATTGAGATTATGTATTTTATAATTACTTGTGTTCCATCCACTGCATGAAAAGATACTTTTTCGTGTTGATGTCGTTGTAACTATAGATGCAGCTTCACTAGTTCCTGCATAACTTAATGAACTTATGAATGGAACATTTGTGCTTCTGTTCACACCGATGAAGGCAAACCGAATAGTATCGTTAGCTTGCATTTGTCGAGCAACTGCTACTGCATAGACATATTGGTCTGAATCATCGTAGTCAAGTGTACATGTGAATGAATAATTGAAAGGAGCAAAACGTATCAAAAATGAATCTTGAGAGGGAAGTGATTGAACAAGAAGTATGTCATTAGCGGCGACTTTGAGACCATAGGCATCGAAAGATGATTGATCAGGAGAAAAGGAAGTGACTGCTGTAACAGCGAAAACAAAATAAAGAGTAGGATGATGGTGTAGCAAGATCATGTTTGAGTTATTCTTCACGATTGAAGTTCATCAACATCACTGAAATAGTAAAAAGAAATGCACTCAATACTTATGAAATCTTGCTTTTTCTCTCATAGGCTCTGTTTGGTTTTAATGAATGGAAGAATCAAAATGCTATAATGCTTATGCCATCATATCAATACAATGGTTGTTGCTTTTTTTTCTTTTTTTTTCATATAACGCTTTCATCGCTTCTGATAATGATTTAGAATATGATTTATAGACTAAGCAATCAACATCAAATAGAAATTAGAAAAGAAAAAGTTTTTTAATTGATTTTCTGATGAGAAAAATATTAGGGTATAGCTTTAAAGAGACTAAAATGTTTAGCACTTGTACAAACGAACAAAAAGAACTAATATGAGAGGAAGAAAAATTTGATAATAATCGATCCACTAAATGAAAAAGACATTTTGTCCCAAACATCAGTCACCATCTCTCTTCATATAATTATCAACAGCATCTTAGTATTATACTCTGTTTTTCTTTTCTCCATTACGTTGCATGTTCGCAGTTGATTCATGTATACACACATTCATTCCTTTCATTCGTTGCACTAAAAACTATTCCGATAGGGTGTACTTTTCAAAATTGAGCGAAGATGAATGGTGTAAAAAAAGTGGATGTAGGTGTTCTCTTCATCCGTACGCACATTCACACTTGAGGCTGAAATAAATCATAAATGTTCGATTCGATTCGGTACCATTGAAAGATTTCTTCACTCGATAGCATTCGATTCGATTTCAGTCTCAAATAGATTATCGTAGTCGAAAATTAAGTAGTCAATACTTTAGATACAAAATTATGATTTTTATGATGGCATACGAATAGCTGGAGTTGTATACACACATCAATAATAAATTAACAAGTCTTTGTCATAGTGTCTATTTTATCAAACTCTTTTGTTATTTCAAACACAATTTTACCTTTCTTCACACTGTTAAAAGCTGTCCTTCTTGGGAGCATGTTTTTTTTCCAGCAAATACCGAACTGACAGTTATAATACAGCAATATGACCATCAAGTGTAAATTTGAGTAAGCGAAAAAAGTTTTTCATATAAAATAATTTTTTTCCAAAAAATACGCCTAGAAAGAGCAATGAAAATGAATTTTTACTTGTCGACCTGAAAATATTTTTCTCCCTTATCATTTTGATGAGTATAAACTCAATTGATTTTGATTAATCTTTGTTAAAGAACTCGAGAAAGTCTGTATTTGTTCAGGTCTATTATATAATTAACTAGATAAGATTTGTGTCAATATTAACATTCCTGAGATAAGTTCTCATTAAACTTTTCAATGTAACCAAATGCTTGTATCAAAAAAATTCCTTTATTGATTAGTGACCAAGAAGGTGAATAATATTGAAAAGGATTAAAAAATGAATATAAAAATCGAATGCCTCCACACAGGATCGAACTGCGGATCTCCAGTTTACTAGACTGGCGCTTTACCACTAAGCCATAGAGGCACATGGACATTGATCTTTGACTTTTTCTTATTCTATTAGCTGATTGAAATCAAATAAAGTTAATCTTCCAGTACGGTGTCATATTGCAACTTCATTATCAGATTTTTTTCGATATTTTTTGACTCGTTTCGATCTGAACAAAAACTTAATTCATTGTTAGAGAAACATTTTCTTCCAGACTCTGCTTTTTTTTTCAAAGTGAAATCAAGATGCACAAGTTTGTATTCTTAGAATATGTGTAAGTGATACTTTCACTACACTATCATACAGAGTGACATCTTCCATAAAAGAATCATTCGAGTAATGAGTCTATTGTCCCGATTAATAATTCTATTTGTTGAGATTCGAACATGCTTGACTTGAATATGTGTGAGACTCTGAAAATTTATAGATTTTGCTAATTACTAGATATTGTCGTATAATAATATTTTAAAGTTTTTCACTTGAAGAATCAAGCATATGTGTGCTTTGATTTGAAAAAATTTAAAAAAATTGACTATATTAATGATAAATGAAATTCTTCAAGATGATCGTCAAAAGTCATGATAACGCATCAGTTTTAATATTTCTAACGAGAAATAAATTGTAGAAACTATCCTTATAAGTATTTATGCTAACAAACAATCCGACTAAAACTTTTATCAAATTTATGAATATAGATTCGAATTTACTAAACATCAGACTTTTAATATAGCTCATTTATTGAAAATAACAACTGTTTCTTCCTATCTTGATTATCTTCATTACATTCTTAGAACTCCTTAACATTTTAATATTTATAAAGGAGGAATAGCAATTTGAATATTTTTCATTACACGATATTGGAATCAACTGACTCATGTACATTTATGGGAACACACTCCTGACATGTGTTTTAGGTCAACACTTACAAACCTGATTTCACAATTCTTTGTTAGATTTGCGCTTCATCGATTGAAAAAAATATCTTTACCTTCAACTTAAAAGTTTTGTATTTGATTTGAGAGGACTCGTTGCGCTAATCACGAATATCATATTTTTATTGAAATATGGTTGAATGACAAGAAACATAAAGAAATTTCTGATTCGATTTCTTATAGGCTTTCCATAAACAAATAAAAAGCTGTTTGGATGCAACGATGAGATAATATATCGGCATCGAATGTATGCCGAAAAGAATATTAGAAACAATTGCAGCACAGTTAACAAAATATTACGGATCGGTGGGTTGCTGTGTAGAAAGAAAATTTAAAAGTACGTTTTTATGAGAAGCTATGAATTATTTTCGTCAAATCATTATTGAAATGTTCAATATGCAATATCAACATATTTCGA